TCCCAGTCTCCTGCGTCAGAGCCTCCATCATCCATAAGAGTCATCTAAAAGCTGACATGTACTCAGTGCCTACCAATTGCCAGCGCTGTCCCAAGGGTTAAGGCCAAAAACAGCATTTCCAGGCACTATTCTAAGTCCTTTACACTTCCGAATTTATCAGGTTATCCCTAGAATTCTGTAAGGAAGTTAGCTTCATAATTCCCATCTACCAATGAGGAAACTGAGGCACAGGGAGGTCAAATAACTTGTCCATGTTCACATGGCTAAGAAAAGGCAAGGACCTGAAGGTAGCGGGGCTTGAGTCCCTCCCTTTACTAAGCTGCATTATACTTGGACATGCGTAGATGTGGGAAATGATATCTTGTAATGGAAATTTTTAAACTGAGCTTCCATCAGGTATTTTGCCACCTAAGGAACAGGCTAGTCCAAAGATGGCTTGGAAATGGCAAAGTGGTTTCTATGTGATAATCTTTCAGTATAAAACTGTTAGTTCTAAGATTATACGAAATGGCCACACTTGTTTCTGTACCTTCATTTCATCTCTGCCCCTGTAAGGATTTCTGAAAGGACTACAAGAAGAGCCTACTTCAGGCCAAACTAGAATTCATAGGTGAAGTGGCCTCCATTTGAGACAGTTGACGCTACAGTCTAAGAGACTGAAATTAATTTTTCCCAGTTGATGTGCATCATCTATCTACCCAGGAGCAGAAATCAGAGTGGGTATCCCTTGTGTTGACACACAGAGCCTGTTGGTCCTCTTTCACAGAAGAGGAATGCTGGTAACACCCCTGAGGACCACATGCCTAATGAGCACCAGAGCCCGGGCTGAGGAATTCTGATTTGTACCACTTGGCAGTTTCCATCTTACCATTTAATACCACAATTATCAACACATCTGCCAAACAAGATCCTGAGGAATAATTTCAAAATGATTTAAGACTTTTCAGATATGAATTTATTGGATGCCCTCTGTTAATCTCAGAGCCCATAAAAATGGTTTCCACTCTCCAAAACATTTGCTTGAATAGTTCTAGGCAGTTGGTGCCTGCCTCATGTTTTGGACCCCAAGGATGGATTTGGTGACTAAGAAGAGAGCCCCTTGAGATAGTAACACATAGAAAGATGGGTATTTCGACTAAGTGAAAGTGAAAACAAAGCATTTTCAATCCGTGTGAGCATTTGTCACTTACTAAGATCCAATCAGTGACAAGGAATCAAAGAAAGGTTATGAAACCAGCTAGCTTCAGTTCCCCAGAGCTGTCACCGGAAGACCAAGCAATCCACCAAGCCACGGTGGTTAAAAGTTAAAAATTAGTTACCTTTCCCCCTGATACAATTGAATAAGCACATTACCAGTTTATAAAAGAGGTTGTGAAATCTCCTAAGGGGGAAAAGAAAATATTATGTAACCAAATTAGAGGAGAGACTTGCCCCTTATCTCAGCAGGGGGTTGAACTGCATGGCTGGGAGGTTCTTTCCTGTGTCATAACTATTATTATTTCCCCGGAACGGTTTATCTTTTATGGCTAATAACAATCCACTCTCCTTCATCCTTTCTATCTACGTCATTGCCCACACCCAGAACTATTATAAACATCTACCCAGCACGGGGCACTAACCTTCCCCAAGTAAAAACAGTCATCTTTCCTGCCTGCTAACAGGTTTATAAACCTTGAAATGTCATCGTGCCAGACTTTGCTGAAGTATTTATGATTGTAACAACTTCACTATCTTAATAAGGGTAGTTTCTTTGTTTGGAATAAAAAACATGGTTAGTAAAGAAGCCATTCATTTTTTTTTCTAAATAATGTTCACCTGCCATAAACTGACAGTAAAGGGCACTGGTACATATAAACTTGTTTTAAATATCCTGCTTTTAATGATTATTACCATCATGAAATATGTATTAAGTAGCTGGGCAAGAAGGCTCTGACGAATTTTACGTGATGGACAGGTGGAACAAGAAGTTCTATGGAGAGAAGGGATTACATTTTCCTTCAATTACAAAATGTGGCCTTTAAATAAACAAAGATGCATATATACTTCCCAGAGGTGAACTCGAGGTCCATTTCCACATTTTAACAAGGAAACTTGGGCTACCTCTGAAGATTAGTCTCCTCCTTTATATATATATTTTTTTAAAAAACACATAACAAAAGGAGCTAGAGTTGCTGAAGGTCAAATGGACGTTTGGATCCTACCACAGTAAACATTCAGTTCAGTTTAGCTATTATTATATTCCCTTATTAATAGCACTGAGGATCAAACCCGTATCTTGGTACTTGCCAGGCAAGTGCCCTCCCACTGAACTACGTCCCCAGCCCTTCTGGTTTTATTCTGAGGCAGGGTCTCCCTGCATTGGTGAGGCTGACCTCACATTTGTGATCCTCCTGCCTCAGTGTCCACAGTAGCAGGATTATAGCCATGCACCACTAAGCCTGGCTAGTTAATGCTTATTAAGGGCTTAACTTGTACCAGACCCTGATACAAGGGCTTTACTAATCTTACTGATAACATAACAATCCAATAATGTAGGTACAATTATCCTCATTTTATGAATGAAGAAAAGGAGTTATGGAGATTTTTAAGTAATTTTACGTAGTTGTCACAGAAATGCTGAATAATAAGGTGGGATTTAACCTTTTAACCTACTATGGCTACACAACAGTACCTCTCAGGTCATTTTATTTAACTTATGGTAGGTCAGATCAGTGATAAGAGAAAATTGGCAGTAAATATTCAGAAACAATGGACAATGAGTGTTTCTAACCAGGGTCTGGAATTTTTCTTTATGCACAAACAGAAAATATCATTGGAAAAATACCAGAAGTGAATACTGAGACAGACCTTTATATATCCAGGTCCTTTTGGAAGAACAGCAAAACAATCCCAAACCTTTTGGTATCAAGAGACAAATCAAGAATGTCGTAATATAAATAGCTCTTCCTATCTCTGCAAAATATGCTCATCTTGATTAGTAATTGAGGTAGCAGTAATAGCCAGTGTATGCAGCGGAGCTACAGAGGGACAAATTCAGATAATCTTGTGCAGAGTAACATTGCCATGTGTATCAAAAGCCTTAGCAAACATAGCCTCTTACTCAGCAATTCAAATTCTAGAGTTTGTTCTACACAAAGGAATATATACACATGTTCATGTAAACATTATTTAAACAAAAAAATTGAAAAAGAATCCTAATAATATATTATACATATGGACATGTGAACTTATTCTCAGGAATGACCATGCATGTGGGCAAAGGTTTATCAACACAGATGTTCATAATAGTAAACAATAAATAATAGCAACATTCTTCAGTTATGGCTGGGTGCAGGCCTCGCACAGTGTTGTTAGAACTTGGTCCCTCTCCCACTGTCTCTTGATGTCTCGTCTGTCTGTCCTCCTTATTGTTGCATTTCCAAGAATGTTCTTCCCATGTGGCTGTGGCAAACATGTCCATGAAAATGTTCCAGAGTCAGTCCCATCATCTGTCTATCCTTGGCAAACTCTGCCAATTGCCTTTTCAACAAGAGTTAAAATAAAGGCCTTGGGCCCTATTTTCACCGGCCATCTTGAGATCATGCACCTCATCCCTGGTCTAAGAAAATTGCCCTGAGAATGGAATGCCCCAGTTGGTTTTGCCTGGGTCATGGGCCCATCACTGAAGCCAGGATGTGGGGCTGTCTAGATGGTATGCAGTCAGAGGGGAGCAAGGAGTCTCCCTAAGAGCCCACAGGGTTCCATGAAAAAGGAATAAGGGAGGGATGCCAGGGAGATCACAGACCACAGCAACAAAGAAACAAAACACGTGGACCACAGATTGCATTTTGTTCAGACGCTGGCTCAGCCTGGTTGGGAAGAGCATTCCCAGCCTTGCACCATGTAGGTCTCTTATGGTGGCAAGTGACAGGAAACAGAATATATTGGCTCCCATAACTGCAATTCCAGAATTAGGACTGGCTCCCAGTGAGCCTCAGCCACCCAGGGTCTGCCTCTTCCTGTCTCTGCAGGGGTGCTGCTTCATCGCCAGACTCCACCAAAAGTCCCCTGGCAACTCTGGGTTCTCTCCCCACAGTAACAGATCTCTGGGAGGGTCCGATCCTTATATCTCCATACTTTGCCAGGTGTCACCCAGGGACAGAGACTGTCTTTCAGGGTTTTCCATACAAGTCTTTGAGATCGTCACCTCTTTCATTAGCCCAGATTGGATCATAGGCCCATCCCTGACCAATGTGGCTGGCCAGAAGGAGGAGGTGTGCTAATTGGCTTGAGGCAGGTAGAGTTCATTCCTGGGCAGAGTCAGTCCCATCCAGACACCACTGTGAACAGAAGAGGGCATCTTCCCAAGGACAAGCCAGGCAGGGTAGGAAGTCATTTGTGCTACACAGGGAACCAGCAAATATCCAGCCCAATTCTAGAGGGCTCTGACATATTTTAAACCCTAGCTACTTTTAATTTCTGCATGGTAAATATCTATTGAAAAGATTTCTCACTTGTGGACTAGTGTATCCCCGTTGAAGAAGTGTAAATTTACCATAGGTCTTTAACCACACATCAATTAAAAAAATGTTTCTTAATTGTAAATGGACACAATATCTTGATTTTGTTTATTATTATTTTTTTTAATGTGGTGCTGAGGATCGAACCCAGTGCCTCACACATTCTAGGCAAGCTCTCTACCACTGAGCCAAAACCCCAGCCTACACATGTCAATTTTGAACCTTTCAAAAGGGCTGCTGCTATGAACAGGGGCAGAAATGACCAGAATACCCTGTAAGGACCCTCCAGAGCCCACAGGCTGCTTCTCTTCTCCTGGGCTCTAATAACCTGAAAAAGGGGAATTTTATTTTTTTCATGTATTTACATGAAACTTTGTTTAGGGAAACATATGGAGCTTTGAAATGTCAGCACACTGGGAGGAAAGCAGGAAGTGTGGAGAGTTTGGTGCTCCTCTTATTTACAGAGTGGGTTCAAAGTCGTGCTGGGTTAGCAAGAAAAACAAACAAAATGATCCGTGTCTGCTCTGGGTGACATCTGTCCACTCGGACAGTCACTTGCTTTTGGAGAAGGCACAGACTAAGAATGAGATGTTTTCTTTTCGTTTCCAGAAAGCTGTTTGGAAGGATCCTCCCAGAGCCAGGCTCTGATGTGATAACAAGAAGACCTCAGCAACGGACAGCTTAACAGGGAAAATCTCCAAGGCGAATGTCACTGCAAATGAGGGACAGCTGTGAAGGTTAAGTGATTAAAATGCTCTATGCAGACAACAGCGGGACTTGGCACATGTTGTGACTAACTGATCTGTTTTCCATGTAGCAACTGCTGCAGAAAAATTTCCCATCTTGTCTCACATGAGTCAACAAAATTCTGCAAAAGCATCATGAAATGTCAGTGAGCACATTTCTGCCACCAGGGCCCAGGAGATGATGATGGCGGTACTGGAGAGAGGAGGGACACCGAAGGAAGTCATCTACTTGGCCACAGAAGGTATGCCACATTGGGAGAATGGGGACCCAGGAGGCCTATGTAGGATGAGTAGACAGGGACAAGGACTTCCAGCACCTCCTGTGGAAAGTCCTGGCTTCTGACTTCTCAGCACAGTCACAAATTTTCCCAGCAATCTCACCAGCACTCCAGGACCTGCCTTTATAGGCAGTAAAAGTGAGACTTGATTTTTCTCATCTGATTCCCACCAGGAGTGTTTTATCTGCCAGATTTTCTAGGTCCAAGACCCAGGTCCCGTGAGATTCCAGGAGCCCGTAAATGCATCTGAATCTCAAAAGAAAACAACTATTGCTGCAAACTACACAAAGAGTGCTACAAAACCCAAGTTAGTAAGTGCTTAAGTAAATGCATATGAAGCATAGAACTATAGCAATTTCATTCGCTGTTGAATTGATTGTTGGTACAAATTTCATTACATCTCAAAACAACTTTAAGGTTAGATTTTATTTCACTTTAAAAGAATTCCCAAGTGTATGATGACTGCTGAGAATCAGAGCCAATTGCAAATTAAATGAATCACTCACTGCCAAATGATTTCAAAAGCATCATTATAATATTACTTCAAAAAAATTTCTGCCAAAATGATGTCTCATGTGGAAGATAAGTGCATTCAAATCTCTGTGCAAAGATGTGAGGTGAGACCTTCAAAAGAAACAAAGGACAGGGAGGCAGTCCTAGACTGGGATCTCTGGTGGCTTACTGACAAGCATGCCTATGCTTGATTGCAAAAGTCCTTCTGTCCATGTACCACATCACCCTTGCATCCCTACACCAGTGTACCGCAGGAACTGGGGCTCACAAGCCTGAGGAGAATAATTCCAGATCATTCAGTACCCAAGCAACAGAAAGCTTTGGGCCTATTACATTCCAGGAGCTTTTGGAGGAAGCATTTGGGTAGTCTGAGGAGCAGCGAGAGGGGAGGGCAGTTGCAGAGGAGCAAGCAAGGCTGAGACCAGCAGGGATAAGGGGAGAGAGGGATCAGCAGGCAGATGAGGTGGGCCTCGTGAGCCATTGTAAGGAGTTGATTCTGAGTGGGATGGGAAGCCACAGAGGCAAAGGGGTGGCAGAATCTGATTTCTAGGTTAAAAAGGTGCCTGTGGCTATAGTGTCAATCCCACAAAGGTAGCAGGAACAATAAACAGGAAATCCATAGTTTCTGCACTGTGATGGCTATGACTGTAGAGCTGCTGCAGTCACCCAGACGAGAGGCAGTGGACAGCTGTGTGTGGTGGAGACACTGAGAAATCATAAGAGGCTGAGACTATGAATTCTTACTGGTTCTGTGCTGACACTTCCCACCCCTCTCCACTATCCCATACTTCATCCAGAGCACACAGAATCAAAACAACCCCAGAGCTGGAAAGGTGCTCCAGGACCCTGAACACACCAGCAGGCCCTCCCCAGTGGACCTTCACCCTCCTGCCTTGACCTCCCACGTGCCACGTCCACACGTGAGTCTCCGAAGCCTGCTGTCCTGGGAGAGGACACACACCCAGGATGAAAGCAAGCTACTCGCAAACACTGATGCAGAAAAAGATCTAGCCACCCTTTTGTTTTACGAACCAGTTACTGGGGATTTCTTGTGCCCTTGCTTCCAGGGGCTCTCTCAGGAGGTCACAGCCTGCCTTTGCTTGTTGAGCGTCAGTCTCCCTGGCACCCATTTCTTCAGGGATACCACAGCCATTGTTTCCAGAAGCACAGATGATTTTTGTTCATGTGCGCTAAGCCTGAGGCTTAACCATACACCTGAGGTTGGGGAGGACGCACCTTTACAGAGGCCTTTTGGGGCTCGGCTTCCATGATGCCTACCGCAGTGTCAGGAATGTGCCAGGCAGCTGCAGGCCTGTGGGAACAGGACTGGCATTGGGCAGGGGTTACAAACACATTTTAAAAGTAGGAAAGGAGTACATGCCTGCTTAAAGATATTCACATAATATGAAAATATTTTAAGTAAAGATATTCACATAATATGAAAATATTTTAAAGTTAAAAGTAATAATTCTTATTCCCTTAGGTGAAATTGCTGGGAATGGCTTGATTTATGGCCTTTAAATCCTAGGTGTTTGTGGGTCCCCTGACATTGAAATATGCATTTTAACAAGTTCACTGGGCAATGCTTATGCACCCTAAAGTTTGATCTTGTCCTTGACCTTTCTGTTAACACCAAATGTGTACATATGCATATAGTTTTGCATACACATATTTGTTGAAATTAAACACATACATGTAGAAAAGGACTCATACAACACAAACTGAATGAAACTTATTTTATTTTGGTTTTGGTACTGGGGATTGAACCCAGGGCTACTTTACCACCAAGCTACATCCCCAGTCCTTTTTTTTTTTTTTTTTTTTTTGAGACAGGGTCTTGCTGAGGGGCTCACTAAGCGCCAAGGAGGCTGTCCTTGAACTTGGAATCTCCTGCCTCAGCCTCCCCCATCACTGGAATTACCATTTAAGTTATCTATGACTTGTATTCCTCCTTGCTCCATACAACAAAGTTCCTAAAGTCTCCCCTAAGGTGGTAGTTGTGAGGATTGGTTGCAGCCAATGTTCCCATTTATCTGTAAGTACTTATGCACCTGAAAGCATCTTCATGAGGGAAAGGGTGCAATTAGAATCAATGGTTACCTAATAATGAACACTCAGTTGTGTTCTGACTGGCCTCACACTTTGGGGTCCAAAAATATGATATTTTAAGACAAACTTCCCATGTTCCAACTGGAGCATAGAAGGGGTGCGGTTTGTATTTATGGGGGCTATTTAAGCAACAATCCACAATCTAAGGATGCAGATTAGTGTGGTGCCTACTCTGGTCAATTATTGCCATGATATAAAAACAAAATTTGAATCTGCTTTAGAGAATATATCCTCAAACTGTGTTGGACTTTTTTCCTTTTGATTTTTAATTTTGACATAATTTTGACATAGACACCTTGGAAGTATAAAATAGTATAAATAGTATAAAATGTTTTACTTATGTACCCAAAATGTTTTTACCATTTATCACATTTGTTTTATACACATACACACAATTTTGTCCTGAATCCTTTGAGAATCAATGTTACTAATATGATCAACTTCTCCCAGTTTCTCTGGGACTTTCCAGATTTTAACATTGGGAGTCCATCTCAGGGAAACCAAATGATTGGTCCCCATGTTTGCAGCCAATGTGCCCATTTACCTGTAAGTACTTAGGCATCTGTTCTGAAAACAAGGACATAACCACTGTACTGTGACTGGAATCTGGAAATTAGCTTTGAAACAAAATGCTATTCAATCTATGAACTTGGTGTGGGTTTTGTCGACCTTCCCAACAGAGTTCTTTATGAAAGCGAAGTCCCAGATCATTGCTGTATTCATTTGTCATGTTTCTTCTCTGGTTCAGTTCCTCAGTCTTTATCTGCCATGACCTTGATGTTTGTGAAGATTATAGCCAAATATTATGTGTTCTGTCCCTCAGTCTGTGTTTGTTTGATGTGTTCTCATGATTGATTCCAGCTATTTATCTTTTGGGCAGGAAAATCACAGGAATCAGGTCCATGGTGTTGCTTGATCTCATCAGGTGTATGAACTGTGGTTACCTGATCGAGGCACTTTCTGTCAGCTTTCTCCACTGTGCAGTTGCCATGTTCCTCTTTGTAATTAATGGAGTGTTGTGGAGAGATATCGGAGATTATGTAGATATCCTACTTCACATTAATCTCTCCCACTTTTGTATTCACTGATGACTTTTGCCAAGTCAGTTATCTTTCTGATAGGTTGGACTTCCTGTTTGAAAATGTTTAATGGATTCTTTATATTAAAAAAAAAGTACACGGGTTTATGGAGGAGATCACAGTTAGGGTACAATGTAGCAACTGCTCTATTAGGAGAAAGTAAAGCAGGGGTTGGCCACCTAAAAGCCCCTAGGTCAAATCTAGCCCAACACCTGTTTTTATAAATAAAGTTTTATTGGAACATGGCCACCCCCCTTTGCTTGCTTTCCTATTGTCTGTGACTGCTTTGGCACTGCAACCGCAGCTCAGAAGTTGGAACTGAGACCACAGTGACAACAAAGCCTAATATATTTGGCCCTCACTGGAAAAGTTTGCTAACCCTCCCTGGAAGGCCTGGGGCCAGAGCTCTGCTGAACGGAACTTCAATGCAGTTTGACTCACACCTAGGGCGCTTTATCACCCTGTGGGTCCTGGGAGAGGGAGGCAAACACAGTCACATGTCTAGAAGCTAATAATTCGTAGGGCTCCCCATCAGGCTACCACACACTTAGAGGTGTCTGTCCTGCCATCTCTTACTCAAAAGAGATTAACTTTTAAAAAGGTATAACTATATATTATCAAGAAGAAAGAAAATTGTACCAAGTTATAGTAATTAACTACAATTACCCATAATTAGCCTGGCCAATGCCACGTTGTGGAGAATGCCCTCTTCATTTCTAGCTCATATTGGGTATGACAAGACTCCAGGAATCAAAAAAAATTTGAACAATCCTTGAAGTGTGTAACATGAAGACCATGCCTGTTTTGGCATCAGGGTTGATAAAGGTAAATAGTAGGAGGCTAAAAGTATCTATTAGTCATTTACATATGACATCATCTTTATTTCCAGAATGTATTTTGCTCAGTAAAGCTCTCTACCCCCAGCAGAGTGAGGCTTCTATGTTGCTCAGAAAGCTGTGTTTTGTGATAGGAAGAGGAAATTCTGGAAAATCAATTAAGAACTCAAAGTAACTTAATCTTGTTGATTGTTCTCTTCTATGGGACACACCCATGTGGTGCTGCAATGACCAGCTCAGGAAAAGTCCTGCTTTGAAGGCCAAGCTTATATGATTAAAAAAACGGAGAGAGTTAAATTTCTTTTTGGTGCATTTTGGCCACAAAACGTTGATGTAAATTTTTCCAAAGCCAAGACAACGATTTCTTATTGGTAAAAGCCATCCGTGGGAGATTCCTGCTTAAGATAGTCTTGGGATGAGGAGGTGAAAAGAATGTTAGTGAGCCAGAGAGTTCTTGCTAAATAGAGCTCTTTGCTTATTAAAAAGACTTGAGGCTCTTGGGGAGCCCGTGACTTTAAAGCAGATCAAGCAACCAGAACACTGGACAGAATGTGGAAGGTATGGAAGAACAATGGACATGAAACTCCAAATGCAGCATGGTGGAACGTGGACAAGCCCAAGCAGGTGAATGCGGGTGAGATTCAAGCACAGAAGCCCAAACACTCCCAGCATAAGGTTAAGCACAGGCAGCAAAGGACAGCAGTGTCCTGCAATAGACAAATAGGAAGGAGTGGTCCCCTGGAGCCCCTTGCAGTCCTAGCACAGTGCATCAGAATACCTTGCTAAAAAACAAAGCTAATGCCCTTTTGCACAGAGAAGTTGGGGATAGGATATTTGGAATAATCAAATATTTTACTCTCTTAAGAGCTCTTAAGTTTCTTGCATTCCAGTTTAGAGTTGCTGGAACATTTTCACATACATTGATTTGTCTTTTTATCACAGATCACTAGGAAATAGGAATCACTGTCCCCTCTATACCGATAGGAAAATCTAGGACCGAGAAGTGAAGTGACTTGCCCGTAGTCAGCCTAACCTCCAATGTGGGCTCTTGACTTGTGCCCTTCCCTGGGTACTGCAAGGACTCTCTGACCTGTCACTCCAGTTGATGTGCAGCAGGAAACTCTTCATGGGGTAGATGGAGGGAGAGACTCTAACCAGGGGCTGCTTACAAGGCTGGCAGTGCGCAGAGGACAAACGAGGTGGTTGAAGCACTCAGAGCCTGAAGGAGTGGGGAGCAGTTACTATGCCTAAGAGCCAAAGGCAGAAAGGGAGGGTTCAGGGTTCCACAGATCACTGGATGTTAGAGCTGCAAAGGTCAGGGTTCCTGGCAGCAGCGACTTGGGAAGCCAGGCAGGTAGTGCCAGCAATGGACGCTCAAGAGAGGAGGAAGAAGGGAGGAAACACCTGCCTCCTTCCCTGTTGGCCCTGAGCTGGAGCTGGCCCCTTTGGGAGCCAGTCAGTGAAAGACCATCCACAAGGTTCTTCCTCTTCTGGGTGGGGCAGGGGGGTGGGGTACAGATCCTGGAGCAAGTGGGTAAGAAGTGCGGCAATAAAAAGGAAATTGTTAGCGCCCAACTTTCACAAAATTGGAAGTCTAGAAAATGTCTAAAACTAAAATTAAGTTGAACATGATTTACACCAGCTCAGCCCTGTGGGCCAGATATGCTCTAAAATTCAGAATATTTTGTATTCTAGAAAGATACTTCGTATTCTAGATATTTTGTATTCTAGATATTTTGTATTCTAGAAAGATACAAAGATACAAAGAAAAAAAGATGCATAAACTGTGTATTACATAATATTGCCCAGCAGAACCCTGGAATAAAACATGTGCAGATTTCTGCAGCAAAAGTTATAAATCTTCACTCTGAGATAAATATTGATTATAAATAACTTCTCATTAGTTCAGGTTAGTGTTTGCTACCACATGAATGTGGGTGTTCAACTTGCCCCTCAAAATTGAATTTTAAGGTCATTATTGTGAACACTGGTTGTCGTTGGATCATTTTTCTTTTCCTACCGACTTATCCATGTGTATGTTTTCTGGATTCTAGAAAAATGAGAATTGGCCTTATATTGTTTTCAAAAATTATCAACTTCAATTAAATTATCAACAAAAGAGGATGGCAATTCACTTTAAACAGAGTCTGTGTCCTGGAAATGATTCACAGCAGGATTCCTTTAAATAGCAAGCATCCTGGTGCTTATGATCCGGCAACAGACACGGGATTCCACACTACTCTTCCTGAGTGGCCTTGAGCGACCTGTGAAGGATGGGCCCCTGAAGGTGAAGAGGACATCTCGCATCTCTGCACCCCAAAGGAGTGGCGTCCTCTGCTATGCCCAGGCTCAGCAGAGTGAGGAATGGCTTCTTGGAATTCAGTGAGAATCGTTGGTGGTGATTTTGCTGGCAGGAATTCCTGGTCTCCAAAGCTCTGAAAACCACAGTTCTCAGAACGACTTAACAGGAAGCCTCACCCAGTAACAGAGGAAGCTGAGGAAGGAAGGGAAGATGGCAGTGTTGGGGGAGGGTCACAGATGAAACAATAAGCGAAGTCACTGGCTTGGGACGACGTGGCCAGGGAAGCACCCCACCTATGCCTTACTGGCTGCTCCTGGGGCCTGTGCCAGGCACCCCACACTTTTGCTGCCTGGATCAGCACTCTCTAGCCAGCTGGCTCAGAAAAGTCCTCCCTGAGGACTTTGCACTCGGGGTTCCCTGTCTCTGGGACGCTTCCTTTCCCGGCTCCTCACCTCCAGTTCCTCTACCAAGCCACCACCATCCTTCAAGACCTTCCAGGGCGATGCTCACCTTGCTTTTAAGGAAGCAATTGTTGCCATCTTCTCTCTCTTGCTGCCTGCAGAGTGGTTTGGACTTTCCTCATAATAGTCACCCTATTGCCTTGTTTGGAAGAATTTAATCCCTTTACAAAATTAAATGATTTGTCCATTGACTACTTTTTCATTAATTCATCCTACCTACAAAAACCTACTCTGCGTAGTACAGTGTTCGGCTTGGGAGTCTGAAGATAAATAAGAGTTTGTGCGCTCTGGAGTTTCTAGTCTAGAAATTGTGAGAAAGTGGGCAACATCCGAACAAGACAGCCCAAGAGCACAAAAGAGGGACACGTTAACCAGCTCTGGAGTCTGCTGGGGGTGGTCAGGAAAGCTGAAACCTCAGAGACAAGTGGGAGGTACACGACTCAACAGTGGGTGAAGGGTGTTCCTGGCAGAGAGAACAGTCATGGCGTGGGGCCAGAACTGGAGGATCAGGATGTGTTCCCAGAACTGCAAAGAGTTGAGCGTGGCTGCCATAGAGAAGTCAAGTCGGGGAGTGTGCAGGAGAAGGGACGGGGAAGAGGGAGCCTGAGAGCAAGCAGAGGCCTGATCATGAAGGGTCTTACAAACCTCGTTGAGGAATTGAGGCATTTGAGCTCACAGTGCCTCCTAAGTGACCTGTACAGAGGGGACTTGAGTTATGTTCCGGGTTTCTCAGGTTGAGGTCTCACAAAGCAGATTCTGAGACAAAGTCCCAAGTGCAAGTAGGTTCATCAGGAGATGATCCTGAGCACTGTTAGGGGAGTGTGTGCTATGACGTGCATGAGTGTCCCCCACAGGGCCATATGTAAAATAGCACACTGTGGGATTGTACGGTGTGGGAAACCTAAGAGGGAGGGCCTCAGCACAATGGAGGCATGCTTTCCAGAGGGCTCGTGGGACCCCTGCCTCTTCTACCTCATGATGTGACCACTCACTCATGTGTTCTAGCCATTGTTATCTGACACCCTGTTTTTGGTCACCAGAGTCCCAAAGCAATAGGACTGCTCAGTCTTGGACTTGAACCTCCAAAACTGTGAGCTAAATACCCTTTTTATCTTCATACGTAGCTTCTGTCAGGTATTTTGTGTCATAGCATAAAGCTCACAGAGCCCAGTGGGGAGGTGGGTCAGGACGTGGGTCAGGAAAGGGAAGGCAGAGGACACTGAGAAGCAGGTCGCTGCTGTGAGCAGCCCAGGTCAGACCTCTGCAAAACGGAAGAACATGTTTCAGCGTCACCCCACCCAAGGATTGAAGAGGCTGGGGTCCCACCCTCCAGCTCCCCCCAGCCATGGTTGAGGGCTGCTCTCTTGGGTGTCACTCACCTTCCCTGACACCTGCCCTATTGAAAGTACACAGGGGAAAACCCTTCTCCTTCAGGCAGACAGTCAGAGGTGCCTGGAGAAGCCGTGGCCACGAACAGGAACAGCGGGTGAGGAGGGACACCGGGGATAAAGGCATCTGCTACATCTGCTGATTCAGACAGAATAATGTGGGAAACATGGCCCGTGTTGGCTCTTCACTCTTGTTATGGGTCAGGGCAGCAAAGACTCAAGGGCAAAACTGAAGAGAGGTTGGCCGGGGGATTACAGC